TGCAGTCGAGTGCTCCATTGAAGATCAGGTCAGACGCGCCTTGGTCGGTCACACAGTCCCCCCGCAATGTCCCTCAGACAAACTCTTTGTAACCAACCAAATCCGGTCAGCAGTTTTACAATGGGGCCACGACTCCCATTATGCCAGTCATCCAGGCGCCAGACATACTCTAGATCTGATTTCCAGGGATTTCTGATGGCCTTCCATGAAAACTGATGTCACTGAGAATGTATCACCCTGTTCCATATGCACCAGGAACAAGACCCCCCGTGATAAGAAGGCCGGACTCCTCCAGCCCCTCCCCGTTCCTAATCGCCCATGGTCACATATCTCTGTGGATTTCCTCCCGACTTCCCTGATAGCCAAGGCAAGACTACAGTAATGGTGGTTGTGGATCCTTTTTCTAAGGCGGTCCACTTCATTCCTCTACCTGCCTTACCTATGGCTCGTAAGATGGCGGATCTATTTGTCCACCACGTCTTTAGGCTCCACGGCATCCCTAAGGACATGGTTTCAGACAGGGGCCCTAAAATTAATCTCTAAATTCTGGAAAGCCTTTTGTAAATCCCTGGGAATCTCTGTCTCGCTACCATCTGGGTATCATCCCGTGGCCAACGGACAGACTGAAACAATTAATCAGAGCCTTATGACCTTCCTAAGGGCCTCCATCTCTCCCTCTGGGTCCTGTTACTTCCATGGGCTGAATATACCCACAATTTCCTGATCACCTCATTCACAGGTTATCTCTTTGATTGCACCTTGGGAAACGCCCCCCCCCCCCCAGATTCTGAGACTCCTTCTGTCCAAGAATATGTTACCAAGCTCCATAAACTATGGCAGGACACAAAACTTACCCTTCTTAAAACAAAACAACAACAGAAGAACATCGTGGATCGACACCACCGACCCTTTCCTCGCCTTAAAAAAGGACAATTTGTGTGGTGGTCCACCAAGAACTTACCACTACGTCAGCCATTCAACAAATTGGGTCCTTTCCGGATACTTGCGCAAATCACACTCGTTTCTTACCACTTGTGTTGTCGTAGCAGTCTCCAAAGCACGTTAAATTTTCAATGATCACTTAGGAAGATATTTTGTTCTGTGTTTTAAACAACTTTACTAGGAAAAAATATAACCACACAAAACAAACAAAGAGTCAGGACAACATGAAGTTTTACCAAGCACCATCTTTATTACAAGACCTGAAGAAATTTTTCAAAAACAAAAACTATGTTATTATGTGGTAAGTTTGTAAACCAGCTGAAGTTGGAATTGTATGTGTACCCACAACAAAATATGTACCAGCAAAGGAAGACAAGTTTTCAACAAACATCCCAACAAATCTAGGATTGTTTGGATTTTAAGACATTTTTGCCCCCTTCATAAGCATAATATTATAGTATGTGTTTCAATATAGAGAGGCATTTACAGTACATACTGTACATACACATGTACATACAGTACATACACATTTAATTCATTGCACTGCAGAGACCTGCTGTGTCAGAGAGTGTTTAGTGACTATACACTAAATACTGTATGTACTGTAAATACTGTAGGTAAAAAAAAATATTTTAGCCAGCAATGAAACTGCAGCAAATTGTAAGCACTTGCCAGCTCCCCACAGTTCAAAAATGATTTTAACTGTCTATAGTCTCTTGATTCTGTATTTCAACAGATGTGAAACTGCATTGCCTTTGCATTACCTGTGGTTTAAAAAGAGCTGCCCCAACTCAAAATTTTAACTAACAACATGTGTCATAATAATAATTTAACCATTCTTGTGATGTAACATCATTAAATAGCTGTAGAAAAACAGAATTTTTCCAAGGGTAATCTGGTAACTACCCATAATGTTTAGATTAGTATTGTGTCAGGTAATTGTGGTGGCTAATCCAGCCTTTTTGTTCTGTTTTTTTTTATTCTTTCATGAAATTGCAATATGGTTTAAAATAGTGTCATGTGAAATGTTAAATTAAATCCAAAATAGAATAACCAATTCAGCAGCTCAGTAGCACAACTTGGTTCCTTTCTGCATTCAATGCTGCTGAAAAGATTAAGCAATACCATGAAGAAACTTCTATAAATCTGCCTTTCATGCCTTAGAGCACTGTTAATGAAAGTTTCATTGTAGCCCTTTCCTTGTCACCACTATGTGACCTTTAT